CCACCGCCCGCCGGCCGCGGGCTGCCCCGGCGGTGACACGGGCGGCCGGGGGCCGGGGACCAGGGCGACCGCGGGAGGAGCCGCTCCGCCGAGGAAGGCCACGTCGTTTCAATTTAATCTCATTTAAAAAGACATAACTAATAAATTTGTATGGCCGGGGCTGCCGGAGACGTAAAGCAGAGTCGATAGTGGTTCAATCCCATTGAACCCTATTGAAAACCATGACAACAAGGAACAAGCTCCGATTTATCCCAGAGAGTTAAAGCACATTGTGGGAAGGCGTCAATCACCTATTATTCCCCATCTGAACAAATGCAAAATCTTGACTGGAACAAATGCTTCCAACAGGTCCGGGACATAGGGCTACATTTCCCTTTTGTTCACGGCCTAGCAGTTGGCATGTATTTGTGCTCCCCGCGCTCCGACCACCCAGGACGGCTGGGAGGCTGTGCTTGGAGCCGGGAAGATAACTACTGTCACCAGGCACGCTTGATAGGTGGCTGCAGTAATCACGGCCTGGGAATCGTTTATATGGAGCCTGTCCAGTCCCGAAGAAATATGCGGGAAGTCGGCCAAATGGAGCCTTGTGCCCCGTTCATCTCGCCCACAAATCTCGCCGATGTAAATCTCGCCTCTCCCTTGTCGTTATTGCTCTGTTGACATTTTCCCCGCGAAGTGTCACTGCTTCCAGGAGGGGCACCCGGAGCGGGGCGGGGAGGGGCGGCGGCGGCCGGGGGCAGGCGGCGAGCGGGGCTGGGGGGCGAGAGCAGGGACGGATAAATATAATCTATACACAATAGCTTATGGACGTCTGTTTGGACAGGGAAATTGGAACCAACAAAGCGGCCGGCTAGCAGACTATCTCCCTGGGTATCTGGGTTTCTATTTCCAGGCGCTCCGCGCGTCATCCCAGGCTTTCACGCCGTTTGCCCGACGGGCAAAGCTGCGTGCGCTTTGGCCGGCTTTCAAGGGGAAGCGGATCTGCTGGGGAGAGCCTGGGTGTCCCCTTCCCTCCAGGCTGCCCTCCATCCAGCCGGACTGGCCGCCCACTCGTTCTCTAGACGGGCGCCGGGCCCCTCCCGCGAAACGGGCGGGAAGCGACGGGGACGGGCGCTGCGGCATGCGGGAGGGGACCGTGTCCCGCCCCCTCCCTCTGCGGCCCCCACGGCTTGACCCACGCCGCGCGACCCGCGTGGAACAGGCTAATCGCGCCCGTCGGTCACTTCTGCCCTTGCCCTGCGGCTGAGGAGCGAGCCCTGCCACTGCGGTTTGGCGTTGGAACGGCTCATCGGGCTTCGCGTCTCGATACCGCTTTTTTTTTTGTAAGTCCTCGGCGGCCACCGAGGCTGGGCAAAGCCCTCCCGCAGCTTCGCGGGGGGACGGGGCCGCCCGGTGAAAGGCTGCCAGGAGGCTCTCGTCCCGCGGAGGGGACCGCGGGGCCGCCGCCGGGCCGTGCCCAGCCCCGGGCCGTGCCCGGCCGGTGTCCGCACCCCTCCTCCCTGGGGGGGGCCCGGGGCTCCGGGTTTGTCCGCTGCTGCTTTCGGCAGATGAAGCGGCGCTCGGCGGGGCCGGGAGACGCGCGGATAAATAAACGCGCCGGGTTTGATCTTTTCTCCCTCTCTCCCAGCTGGAACCGTTTCAGTCCCTCACACATACCGCCCGAGGGGATACTCCTTGCGTTACTACAACGCAAAATGGTGTTAAAAAAAAAAAAATTAATCTCCCGACTCTCGCTCATGGGCCGAGCGCGTCGGGCTCCCCGCGTTTCCCCAGCCAAGCTTTGGCCCTCACCCTCCCCGAGAGAAAGGTGCACCTTCCATCCACCGTGCCCAGGAGAGGCACCCCCCACCCCCCCACCCGCCGGCGATCCCGTCCCCTCCGGGCGCACACCGGCCAGCCCTCCCCGCCGAGAGCTCAGCCGAGGTGTGAAAAATCCCCCGTTGAGGGTAGGAAACCTGCCAATGACAAGCAGGAGAATCGGAGGTAGCATGGTAAACAGCCCGGGGAAATAAAACAAATAACGACTTAAATTCCTTCCAGGTTTAAAGGGGGGGCGTGAAGAGGGAGAAGCGAGGAGGGGGCTCTCGGCAGGCTCTGCGGATGTCCTGGGAGGATTCACTTTGTCTGCGGATAGAAGGGACGCTGGTGGCTTTGGTGGCGGATGGAGGGGGGTGGTTGTTGGTCATCCACATGCCACCCAAGATGTTATTCACTGCTAACAATTACCATTATCTGTCCCCACTTTTGGCTAATCAGACAGAATATGTAATGATGAAGCCTGTTTCCTGCTGTCTTTGGGAGGTAACGGGTTATTCTCTCATGGGGGTGGCGGGAGGGGGGGGGTTACACCTACTCCCATTAGGGCTTTAGCACTTGACTAATTCAGGTACTTAGCATCCTATAGACAGGGACGGTTTGAAAGCAGGCAGTGTTTGCAGTGGGGAGGACTGTTTATATAAACAGGACACCTCTGTAAACGACACTAATATTTGGGGTTAGGTGGCGATGGAAGGGAAGGTCCTCCTGAGCCGAGAGATTCCCCAGTAGCTGGGCGCAGTCCTTTCCTCGCAGCTTTTAAGGGAGGGGGTTCGGGGCTTTGGGGCAATATTTTTTTTTTGTGGGGGTGTGTGTGTGCACAGCCTACCATGGCCACATCTGGCAGGATCAGTTTTACGGTGAGGAGCATTTTGGATTTACCAGAGCAGGATGCTAATAGCATAAAGCAAGCCTCTGACCATCACCACTCAGCGGAGAACTACACCGGCTCGCCGTACCGAGGGTGGATAGAAACAGACAGAAATCACTATCCCTGTGAGTATGAAACGGACAGGAATTGGCCATCTCCGCACAGCTATCTTTTATTTGTTTCTCCCCTTCCTTTGGGGAAGATGCGAAGAAGCGAATCGCCAGCGTGTGTAGCCTACAGGATCGGGGGGATCCAGGCTGGGAATTTTAGAGAATGTTACTGAATTGCAACAATGAAACAGCAGGAACAGCCCGGCCACGAGCTTAAGAGAGAAAAGATTCCTTTTTTTTTCCGTAGGTCGGTGCATGTTCCCAGGTATGGCAGAAAGCAAAACCTCAGGCTGTATCCGCCCGTCTCTCTGCGCTTATCGTTTAAGCTCGCTTCGCGGATTTTTTTTTTTTTTTTTTTCCCCCCTCCCGTTTCACTGTTGCAAGTAATCCTGCCTTTTTGTGCTGGCGGGGTTTCGGGTCACCCCACGCACAGCAGCGGCAAGCTAAGGCCAGCCCCAGCGCCTCGCCTCCCCGCGCTGCCGCGGAGCGCGCCCCGGGCGCCAGCGCCTAAATCCCCGCGTCTGCCACCGCGGAGAGCCGGCTCCGGCTCACAGACCCTCCTGTGCGGCACGTTGCTCTTACCTCACGCACAGAAATTGCGCCGCAGAGATACGGCGTTTAATGTGCACCCGCGTGTGCGTGGGGGGAGACCGTCCTTCGGACGGGTGCGGGGCCGCCGTCGGGGTACGTTAAATAGGACGGTAACGGAGCGGCTGGAGAAAAGCAGTGACGAAGGACTGGGCGGCCCGGCCCTCCGCTTTAGCGCCGAGCGAGCACGGCCGCTGCCAGCCCGCAGAGCCGCGGGCTGTGCGCGGCGAAGCGGCCGTGCCCGTGCGGGGATTGACTCCGGGGCAGAGCCGCTCCCCCGCGGGGGGAGAGCCCGCCCCGTCCCGCGGGTTAGGTTTAACGTCTTCGGGGGCTCAGCTCGCCTCTCCTGTTGACCGTTGGGCTTAATCCGGCCCGGCCAACGGGCGGGGCTCTCCCCGCGGGAGGCGATTCGGCTGCCGACGGCCCCGCCGCCCGCTCGGCGCCTGCCCCGCGCCCCGGCCCCGGCCGCCCCCTCTCTCTAACCCCCTCGCTGTCCCCAGCTTCCGACGAGAGCGGCCCGGAGCCGAGCTTGCCCGACTCCACCCAAAGGTCGCTCCCCGCCCGCGGCTCGGAGGCCGAGGAGAAGAAGAAGAAGCGGCGGGTGCTCTTCTCCAAGGCGCAGACGCTGGAGCTGGAGCGGCGGTTCCGGCAGCAGCGGTACCTCTCGGCGCCGGAGCGGGAGCAGCTGGCCCGGCTGCTGAGCCTCACCCCCACGCAGGTGAAGATCTGGTTCCAAAACCACCGCTACAAGATGAAGCGGGCGCGGAGCGAGGGCCCCGGCAGCCCCCCGCCGCGCCCGCCCGCCCTGCTGCGCCGGGTGGTGGTGCCGGTGCTGGTGCGGGACGGCGAGCCCTGC